GGGCAATAAAGACTAATTTGGCAGGGTGGCAACTTCTGAGGGGCACCGACTTGGCAAACAGTGGGCACTGCCACCCTCTGGTCAACAAGCATTACGTCAGCTTTGGGGGGTGGGTGCGCGGGTGGATGGTGTAGCTTGTCTGGTGCACCACACGCTCTTCAACTGCTACTGGGTGGAAGGACCAAACAAAGTAGGCAATATCACACGAGATATAAATTAAGCAGCTTGTTGCACAAGCAGAAGGATGTATGAATCCCTGGAGAGCAGCTCAACTGCAGACAAGGAATTTCAGTCAAACACAAAATGGGCCGATCTTAATTGGCTTAAACGCAGGGTTTTGGGAAAAAATCTTGAGCTTCCTGACCTCAACAAACAGCCTCCGCCTCCCAACCGATCAGACATGCGAGTATATCAGTCCCGACATTCCTCAGTTCCCACTGATAAGAGCCACAATACCCAGACAGGTCATAATAGGCCACAGACCAGAAAGTTAATCATGTAAATGTTTGTTGTCAGTATGAAATGAAATAAAGGAAAAAGAGTCACCAGCTCACACGAGGGCCACAGCTGGAGCCGCACTGGTGACTTCCTGCCAGCACGTCCAATCAGACAGGCTGAACAGCTTTCCCAGCACGTTTTAATCAAAAGCCGGGTCTTGCGGAAAGCAGTCCGATGGCCACATTGGAATCTCACAAACATTCAAGCGGACAATACAAACTCTTCAAAATGACTGAGCACAACCCCTTACCATGGCACTGAAGCACGTCTTCTGATGTGCAGCTTAAGTTTCACCTAACCCCCCCCCCCCCTCCTAACCCCTAAAAGCATTTTTCCTTATTAGTTATTTGCTGGACCAACTACAATGGCACAGAACACAATGCGAGCTGAGAGATCAAAAGAGGATTCGGTTATTTCTGCTGGAGCTCAAACAAAGTAGCACATAGTTGTGTCAGATGGGTCCCAACCATTGGACATGCGCCACACAGAGCTCTGATAACGGCAACTCCACACTCAGAAACTGCTGGAAGGTACTGAACTTCGTCCACATCGCTACAAAAACAAAAGGTGACCCCATACCCCTTCAGAAAGGTAACCAACACAGAAGATTAACATCAGTAAAGCTTGTTTGTTTGAAAAGTCCACGTCGAATGGGCAATTTGAGACCATTTGACTACCTTGTGGGGAAAACTTGACCTGTTAAGTACAAAGTGTGCATTCTTCACGATGTGGTCCTTATCCATACATCTGTCCAATAGTCTAAATTCTTAATCATAACTCAGATGAGGCAGCAGATCTTGCTTGTAAGACCCAGTTACTCTGGGCAGGGTCACGTTAGGGGGGGTGGGGTAGCTGTAGCCCACCCCAGTTAGTGCACCAGGCAAGGGTATAGTCTGGATGGGACGCTCCTGGAACGTTTACTGAATGTTACAATCAAGGTATAGAAATGTTCAAAGTTTCCACAAATACTACAACTGCAACTAAGAATAATAATGCAGCAACAAACAGAGGGCTTGGTAGGACAGTAACACCCCCCCCCGCCCCAGCCCTGCCGCCCCCCCGTCGCTTTACCCCTCTCAGGGTCATGTGTTCAAGGCTGGATAGTGTGTTCACATTATACACATATATTACTTTTATAAAATTATATTATAAAAATACTTTCATGCATCATGAATTACTTTAAAAGGAAGGCCAGGTAATGATGTTACCATGGTAACACTGACAGAACCTTTGTTAAAATGTAACACGTGGAAATAACGTTACATTAACGTCACAGTAAGAATGTTACCCTGACAGCACGAAGGCCTTCACCTAATGTTAATGGAAGTTCTGGGAATGATCAGTCAGCTGGTCTGGTCCATTTCAGGGCACCCCTACATGCACACGCTCACAGTCACATACTACAGGCATCTGAGATGCACAAGTTTCTTCCAACAGGCCAGTAGGTGTAAAACAACAACAGGTACCATCCATGACACCTGGGGAGCATTCCCAGGCTCTTTTTCCATTTGCAAAACCAGCTCGTTACAGCCCCCCCCCGCTATTTTCTGAATGAATTAAGGCTGAAGGTATTTTGCCAGAAACTGCAGGTCTGTGATACATCAGTGCTAAATGCCATTTGCTGCTTTAAGCGAACATGAAGTTCTGTATAATCCACTTGTGTACAGCATTTCATATCTGCAACGCCAGACGACAACTTCTGCCTGTAATTAGGAACAGCATTTAAGATTTTAAATACATCATCTTCTATTTTCCCAAACCTCAACACCGCTGTAATCTAGCCCCGTCTCAAGAAGCAGAAGCTGGATGCAGCACCAGGCCCCTGAAAACTGCTTTTATGTTAAAAATGATGAGATACGGCATTTCAGCAGCTTTCAAGCCCCTTACAACCCAACACTGCACACGACACGTTTCAGTCTGCATTTAGAAAACGCCACAGTCCTGAAGCAGCGCTCGTCTGATGACGCCTTCCTCCTCTACTGTGGGTGTTTCTGCTCTTGCACTTCTCTGCCTCTTTTGGCACCACAGGTCACTATATCTGGGAGCAGAACATCGTGTTGACCTCAGCGGAGGTGTCTTCTTGGTTTTTAGGCCTTCTCTCACAATTATTGAGAACTGACAGCCATACTTGTTGACATACTCAAAGTAGCTGTATGAAGTTCACAGAAGTTTAGAGGGGGGTGTGGCTTAGGTGTCGCCCTACCCTGGGGTCGTATACAAGCAGAGATAGTTTGCTGCTGTCCTGAAGACACACAGCTTGATGCATGTCAGAGTGTCCTCACGGCACGGACCCCCAGTCACACACATACCACGGAGTAGATGGCACAGAACTTCAGGAAGTTCAGCTCACGCCTGACTCAGACCTGATCGCCAGACCAAGATGAACTGTAATGGCTTCAAGTAAATATGGAGAACAGAGAAGCCTTTTGAGACGTCTCTTGGGTTGGATTCATTTGCATTGCAAGCACCTCAAACATCCTTCATGTACAGAATACAGCCAAGGTAGAGGGGGGGGGGACCATGCGGAGAGGAAGCCAATGCTATGCGGCTGCACAGATGCTTATTTAAAAAGGGTCTTCATTGGAAACAGGCAGAAACTAGAACGTTTCATAAAACGACGCTACCAGGAGTCTTGCATGCACCACCTTACACTGCTTGCCAAATTCAGAATGCAACTTCTCGCCATTAAAGACCTAAACTGAGACGCATCAAAGCTAATGCCTTAGTTCGTCTTATAGTTAAAAGGCCATATTTAAATGATAAATGAAACATCACCGCCACAACATTCCTTGTGCTAACCCAACTGGCTATTCCGAGCCTCATTTTTGTCTTTACGGTCTCCATTCTTATGTAGATCCTCTTCCACATCTCTTGTATATTGCATCTGGTTAACAGTATTGCTGTGTAACCAAATAATTTCTTAGAGCAATACCCTGCCTCTCCATTTTGGCTCCTGTAATTTGGCACTGGTTTGACACAGAAAAGTCCTCGGACTTCTGGCCTGCGAGTGTCTAGAGCAGCATTTCCCAATATGGTCCTCAGGAACTCACAGTTGGTCCGAGTTGCCTGGAGGGAGCAAAAACATGAACTGGGAAACACGGGTTACGGGTCTCCAGCGTGGATCCACATGCTGACGTGACCGAACGCACTGCTGGGTGTCATCAGGCCATTCTCAGCACCCTGCCTGGAACCCTCAGCTCAGCAAACCAACGGACGATAAGTAATCATACAGCCTTCCATAAAGGGATTCATGCACAAACACTGGTATCACTTAGCCTTTCTATAGTAAGTTTTGCAGAAGCGCTGCATGGTCACGGTTGCTTGCAAAGGTTGGCGTATTTTGAAATGTATATTGGCAAATATTTAAATAGTTTATTATTCTTGATTTCTGTGGGGAAAAGAACTATTGCGGTAAGCTCTTTGCGTCAAATTAGGACTATAACAAACAAACAATACTGACCACAATGTTCCTATCCTGAAACCACCAAAAAAAATCATATTGTGAAGAATTGAAGTCCAAGGGTTCAAGGGCAGAAATGACCATCATTGTCTTTTTAGGTGCATCTGTGCTCGGCCTTTGCATAGGGGCAGCATCTTTCATGCAACTTGAGTGAAAGTAGCAGACCAGTTCTTTTACCATAAGCCAATAATGGTGCTTCACCAAGAGACCCTTCACCAGGAGCACTGAGTTCTCGTGCAGCTAAGCATCTGCCTTGACTATTTCCAGGTCCAATGTGACCAGCATGCACGTAAACACAAACATCTTCAGATCATAACACTTAGGAATTTTATCTTAAGAATCATAGAGCTGCCATTTTTAACAAGTGAATTCAACCTCCACACCACTCAGAAAATTCCTGAAATTCCATGGCTGTTCCCCCAAGTTAAGATCTGTATGTTTTTTCCTGTCCTGTCAAATCCCATGTCTCTTCTGTCCGACCAGCGCTCCAAAGCCATGGAGTCCACATAACCGAAATATCTCTGGATGAACTTTCCCATGGCGTTTTCTCCTCTGGCTTCATCAGGACCCTCTGCTCCTTTACCCTCTTTGTCACCAGTGGAATAATAAACAAACTCAAAACATGCAAAAATCAACCAGCTACCCACAGCCTCCATAAGCCTGTTTAAGTTTGCGAGAGACGCAGAGGGTAATTAGAATGAAAGCTTTTGATCCATCTAAAAGGTCGTTTTTACCTCCGTCTTCCAAAAGACTGTAATGGAACATTTGTTTTGCTGACAAATCAGTCCCTGGTCACATTCCATCTTAATGTCGCACAGGAACCGAACCAACTATGACTTAAAGCTTCAATGACTGAGTTTACACGCATTGCCTGCTTTGAAGTTTGCTCGAAACATTTAACAACCCTGAACGGCTCTTTCGTTAAAAACACAAGCATAAAACTGATGACTGTGGGACCCCTATGCAGCTAGGGGACTGAAGTGGCAGATCTCATGGACGGCACATCCACGTTTTCAGCGTAGAGGATCTGATGAGGATTTACCTGAGAGTAGGGTCTGGACAGGCGATGGCTGGAGTTCTTCTCCACGGGGGACCACGGACGCAGCTGGTGGCTGAGAGAAAAGGGAGCAGGTTTGATCTCAACACTCTTAAGAATCAAAAGGTGGACATTTCAGGTCCAGAAAGTAAAAATCCAGACCAAGACTGTCTTTCCAACCAACCAGTTGAGTATAAAGAGTCACAGTCACAGAGTAACTCAGCTGGATGGTTGAAAACAAAATCTTGGCGGCGTTTCCTACTTTCTGGACCTGAAATGTCCACCTCAGGTAGGGACCAAATCAGTCCCGAATGCCCCACCCCATCCCCCCCCCAATGGTACCTGTACAATATTAGTAAGAACATACCCCTACCATCCATACCCAGGTACACCCCCACACAGAGGGAGATACCCAGCTGGGGGGCACGTTCTCCCGTTCCGATGTTTTTAATACGATCCTGACTATCGGCTGACTATCGATTTTTCGGATGCTGTCGTTAGGACCGTGCTCTGCCGACTCTAGCCGCGGGCCAGCCATAACAACTACACGCACATTTCCCTACCCTTATGAACCCTTGTTCGGGTGCCTCACAACCTGACCTCCGCCGGCACAGAAAGGCTGCAGTACATCTGCGGCCGACCGCCGGCCCATTCCTGCACCAAAACCCAGAGGGCTGCACTTTAACCCAAAGGAAAAGAAAAACACTTAATAAAAATATAAATGAATCAAATACAATGTCTGGAATGCACCCGTGTTCTCCAAGGTTATGTCTTTATTTGGACAGTTGAGTGCAAGCAGGGCCTGGGAGTTGGGCCGTCCCAAACGGCGGCCCGCTCCATTCGCGGCGAAGCGCGGCCCAAATCCCCGACCCGGGGGAATACCGCGCCGCGGGCAGCTCGCCCCACGCCTTTGTGGCTGCACATAAAAGGAAGAATGCACTCTCCTCCGCACGTCCTTTGTTCGCCCCACGGATCCAGGGCTTTGCTCTGCGCTCGGGTGTCCATTGATCGCGCGGAGTCCGCGGCGCCGCCCGCCACCATGGCTGACGTGCCTCATCGCCTCGTCTGCTTCTATCCAGCCAGCTAAGCCTGGCCTAGGACACGGTGCCACCCACCTTGTCCTTTTTAATTCCCCTTACAAAACAGCTCTATTTGCCTCCTGACCCACATCTGTAGCAGATGCAGGGGAAAAAAAAAAAAAAAACGCACACGAAGCAGACGTCTGCATTAGAACCGTATTCGTACTCCCCCACACGAGCTCCCCATCAAAAAGCAGGCGTGCGTGGAACATAACTAAAAGGGTTCTTTTAAAGTTGCACAGAAGACTGACTTGACATTTATTCCAAACATATGACAGGAACATAGGAAACAGAAGGCATGGAGGGGGGGGGACGTGTACCCACCCAATATTTAATTTGACTTCAATAGTCTCCCCCACAAAAAAAAAAAACAGATCTATATATATATCAAATTATTAAGCTGTGTCCCAACTCAATATCAAATTCTCTGGACCCTTGAGAGCATGTGGTCTACCATAAGAATAAGGCTGTACCTCTGAGTGCTGGAGGACAAATGTTTTTCCACCTTTCGATCAGGACTCAAGGGCGGCTCTGGAGAGTATGGGCCCGGGGACAGAGAGGCCGGGCTGGGGATGGAGTACTCTCTGTAGTTCTGGTTTTCATCTCGACTCACATGCAGTACCTCCTGAATAGCAAGGACGGAAACTCAATGTGGAGGAAAAAGTATCCAATCACAGGAAACAGCTCTTGTTTGCATTTTATTATGTAAAATTATTCACAAGATTGCTGACTTTGTGTCAGGCAGTAACGTGGGAAATTGATGTAATTTCAGTCAGACATGCAACGGATGTTTATTCAAACAAAAATGTGAATATAGATTGTGAACGTGAACATGACAAAAAGACTGTTCATTTGTGACCCCCCCCCCCCCACAAGAGAGCCTAGGCTTCTAATTACTGCTGCGGCATATTAGATGTCACCGTTCACACCCCAGGGAGGTTTGATAGGAATTGCGTTACATCAGCAGCACACAAAACCCTGCTGAGCCATTATGTTCTGTCACACGGCTCAACACTGATAGTCACAGAAGTGAAAAGACAATCATACCTGAATGTTCTCACCTCCACTTGCCTGCTAATCATCATAAAAAACCAGGGGCCTTGTCATGAAAATCAAGCCTTGTGTCACTGGGACAAGCATCAGGCAAACGCATGGAAGGACCCAGCAATCCGATAGATCATAACTCAATCCATCATGTACAAGCCTAATGCTAAACATACAATCACTGGAAAATCGCTATGAAGTCCAACTGGCAAGTCTCTATAGTATGGTTCCTGAATTCTGTGACACAGTTTGCAGATTTCCTTGCTCAAAAACCCCTAGTAAACCTGGCTGGTGAGCTGAATAAGGGTCTTTCAGCAGGGAACACTGTAAACTGTGCTGCAAACCAGACCTCAAGAACCAGAAGTGGGGAACCCTGTTCCATAGAATGGACAGATGAGTATCTAAAATTACTGCCTGAACCAAATAGTCATATCCATAAGTTTGCGGATTCATGCTTTTCTTACGCATATAACCGCTATGGTAACCAAAAAACACATTATAACCCTGTGAAGAGGCTGCAGTAAAGTGATACAACCAATGAGCACTAAGTACATCTATACTGGGAAAACACCATAGCGATTGGTAGATTTTCTCTTATTTTCCCCGTTTCAAAACATCCTGTACAGCACAGCATACATTAGATGTTTGACCAAACACAGCATGTTTGACCAAATGATATGTAGAGACATTTTTAGCTTGAAGACGGTTAAATTTAGATGGATGTTACTGAAAACGTGACTTTGATCCTCAGCAGCGTGTCAGCCTGGGGTTCCTCACCATAAACAAACACAGGAGTGCCGCCCTTTCCGCCATTCTCCCTTACAAAACATATACGGTTTGACTTCCCCATGACACAGCCATCCACAAATGCTTCAGAAGACGAGCACCACCCATATTCCAAACTGAACCAATCAACAGCCACTCAGATACACCTCAACCTGCCATCATCCCCACCCTTCTGGTCTCTTGACACTGCTGACAGTTCATGTTTGCAGATACATTCCCTTCCTAGATTTTCTTGGCGCTATTTATGCCAATAACCTTTTGATAATAAGTTGCACACTTTTGTATAGGTCTTGTTCCCATAAATACCACACCCTATACTGGTCACTGACTGGAAGTTCAGCCTAGCAGCGGTTGTATCTATGTTGGCTCCTTGACAGCCATATGCCATGTGATGCACTATCATGCTTGTCTGTCACACTGGATGAAAGTATCTGTTAAATAAATAAATGTCACAGTACAAGAAGTTCCAGAATGCGGGCGGACCGGCGACTCTTGCATGGCGGCTGTAAGTGATTCGCTGTAACTGACCTGGAAGCGTCCAGTGAGCTGTTCGGACGTGCTGATCCCGTTTGTCTGTCCGGGACTCGGAGGCTCTGGCCTGGGGGGAAAGGAAGACTCAGATATACAGGGTGGGGGTTTAAATAAATAATAATAAAAAAAGGGGTACAAAATGCCAAAATTTAGCTCCAGTGAGGATCCACTTAGGGACAGAGTTAGAGATGCAGGGCAGCCCTGCAGCTGTGCGATGGACCACGAGAGAGTAGATATCATGTCACCTTCTGAGAGCTGATGGACACTTATCTGAAACACTGGAGTACCAGCAGCTTCATCTGGATCTCCACACAAAGAGTATCATCCATCTCAAACCCAGTGAGACCTCGCCTCTCCCTCCAAAACAAAAAAAGCAACCAGCCTCGAGGAGTCATTTGACCTTTTTGTTTTGTTGTTCCAGGAGCTGAATGTGCAGGGAGAGCTCGACCGGTGAAATAAACACTTCGGAAAGGCAAACAGTCGGGGGACTGTTACAGCGAATTGCCGGACACAGTGGGGCTTTAAAAACACATTGTAAGCAGGCGCTCCCAGCAGAAGCCGTAAACACGGAGGCAGGATTCTCCCCCCAGACCCGCTACAAACAGCAGCAGCTACTAATGAGGCTTGCAGGACGGCCACGGGCGCCGATCGTAAATCGCGCGTGAAGCCCGAAAACTCGCGGCCACCCGTCGCCAAAACAGAAACGGACAGTAACAAGGACAGCAAAAACAAAAACTTTGGGGGAAACAGAATTGGCAGAGTTGGCATCGAGCAGAACCGGCAATAACAGTGTAGAAAGGAGGAGGCGGACTTGGCTGCCCGCTTAAAGGGATGGATGACGGTCTCGGGTCCGTGGGTGACATTACAGGGCACATCTGGTCTTCCGAGGCTGCGGTTACAGTTTCAGCGGAAGAAACACTCAGACCACAGTGGCACACTGACATAGCTGGTCCCTGAAAGTCCTTTTCATGGCAAATTTGGTCAACTTGCAAAAAAAAAAAAAAAAAAAAACCTGGAACAGCGAGATGATTCAAAATCTCCACCGTCTTGTAAGCAAAAGCACTTGGAGTATGAGAAGAGGTGGCATGTGTTGACCCTTGGAAGACGTAGGAAGCAGGGTGGGGCAGCACAAATCTGTTTGCCTCAAGCTCAGTCATGCACAAATCCCAGGTATGGAACTGATTGCTGTCAAGTATGCAATTTACAATCTGTCTGCAGTCCCCCCCCCCCCCTTTGGCTGGACTGACACCTACATGTGTGTTCTATGAGGAGCAGTGAAACAGGGCACCTCCCAGACACCTCCTCATCCTCACTATGTATATACAGATTTCTGTTTCATTGGAAGATGAAAATGAAAAGAAAAAAATCCCGAATTTTCTCAGACGGTTACAAAATGAGTCGTTAGGGTTTCAGTCAGGTGCTGTTCATGCAGCTTCATGTTAGCACAATCAAACACATCACCATTTGGAAATCCTGAAAATGACTTACTGGACAATGAAAGCCCTACAG